GACGATGCAAGCGTTTCGAAAATTCCTTACATCTTTCTTCGTTCTCGGAGCTTTCACTTGCTTTTCGGAATACACAAAGAACATAAGAAGCAGTACCTTCCGCTATCAAAATTACCTGAAGAAAATTACAATAAGTGCCCCATTTTCACGTTACATTTTGAAAACTTAAAACCGACAAAACTTTTTAAATTCAAATGGAACACCCTGTATGTTTCTGCATCGTATTATAGCAAATCAAATTCTCTTTTCGCTGATAAAGGCAGTGTAGGGGTTACAGTTACAATTTTCTCAGATATTTTCAGTTTATGTACTTACATTCTCAAGAATATTACATTAAAAATATCATCAAATGGCCCAAATATTAATTATCTGGTAGGGTTTGTCGTAATCTGAGCAAAAATATATAATATTACCAAAGTATCCTGCGTCTAAAGTAAAAAACAATACGATGAAACCGAACCAATGTTATCTTTCTACATGTGGCAGTTTTTTCTTATCTAGAATTGTAGGTTGACCAGAACGTTTAAAGGGATGTGGTTTTGGTAAGGTCGATATTACAAAATATTAAAGGAAAAAGATACTATTTTGTACGTTTTAATGTAAATTGTGGAATACCTAGAAAGTCCACATATGTGAACTCGACTTTCTCAGACTAATAAAGTACAATATAAATGTCTTCGAAATTTTAGGATATATAAGGTGTTAACAAAATAAGTACTCAAAATTGGAGACAATGTAAAACATGTCGAAATATAATGAAAACCTTGGTAGAGTTTTTGTCAGTGGCGGGGCCGCCGGGGAGATTCAACCCCTTGAAGGGGTAACTCAGGAAACAGTTTTTATTGCATAACTTCAAAACGGTTTAACATTAAATTGCGAAATTTTGATTTTGTAGTTCTATTTATATGCTTAATAACCGGCATAATATATTTTTGTACGCAATACTTTCTGCTTCCTGAAGAGAAATTATGAAAATTTATCATATTTTGCACAAAAAAGGTACTCTTGTTAGATTTTAATAGCATGAGTCGTTTTCTAGTAAAATCCATTTCAATAATTATTTATTACGTGCTCAAAAATTCCTGCTGAAAATAACTGTATCAAATTGTGACATGAGAAAATTACTATTTATGACACTTAACAGAGATGTCAATTACTGATTAGATTACCTACTCAATATTACCCCTTCAAGTGGCCGTATCTCCCCTAGGGGCCGCCACTGACAAAAACTCTACTAAGGTTTTCATCATATTTCGACATGTTTTCGATACTCTCCAATTTTGAGTACTTATTTCGTTAGGATTACTTCAAGACTTAAACAAAGTTTCCGAATTTACTGTATCGGACGCCCTAACATCTACTAAGCCTATGAAAACAGTTCAAATTTAATTGGTCTGTTTAAACAGTGATCTTTCTAATGGACGTTGTTACTTTTATGTTAATTTCTCGCCTCCGTTCTTCTCTTTTCAAACACGATTAACAAGCATCGACCGATTAAATAATAATTTTCCTTAAATGATCCTTTAAAAATCGCTGGGACTGACTGGAGCAGCATTTAAAACTGCACTTTTATTTCACACACAATTGCACTAACCGGATTATAACTGGGTTGTTTTGGCCATTCTGGACTGTTGTCGGCTGGATATGATCTATTGTCTCCTGCTGCTGACACAGTCGAGAAAATTAGGTACATAATGACATATATACTTACATGACAGCTCCCGATTTGGACACAAAATATGCATATGCAAAATATACCAAGAAAAATATGCATATTTTTTAAATATATAAAATGTAAAAAAGGATATAGTGTATGTCTAACAATAAAGTTGTAAGCTAGCGTTTAGAAAATATAAAGTGAGCAAAATTTCATATGAATTTGTATTGCTATTTTTTCTAATAGAATCGATTTCCATAGGTATGTAAAGTTTTGTAAAGACTATTTTGTACAGCAATTCTAAGTACAAATAGCATTGCTCTTGCGAAAAAAAAGATGACGGAAACTTTGAAATGTAAAAGACTATTAAAATCTGAGCAACCTTTCATGTACCACTCTCCAGTGTTTTTCTTGTCGAAAAATTTTTTTGAGCCGCAACACAATCTCTTTCGATGTGAGGTGTTATGTTTAGTTTTAAATGAATACTCTGTATATAGTAATCGATGTTTTAAACGGTCGGAACACAAAAACTAATTTCTTCTCCGTTTATAGCGATTGCAATCGTTTTTCGACACTGGTAAAGGGGCATTAGACAATTATTGCTGCATGTTTGGGCAATCAATAAACGTCGTCTGGGTACAGAGCGCTTTCACAGCTTTACACAAAATTGCGAGGTTCAAACGGTTGGTCAAATAATTAAAAATATATTACCTCGAGCCTTTTTGTTGCGGACATCGGTCATAAAGTTCGCAGCTGAACGTTTTTCGCAATCGGCAATGTTTTAAAAAGCAAATTGATGACTGTGGAGTGTTTTTATTTCAGTTACGAACGTGTACATTTTATGGTTTTCGGCCTGTGCAATTTGAAAAAGAAACAAAAAATAGAACACGGAAAAAATGCTTTATAATAATCCATTATAAGCAAATTTGCACGAGTAGCAAATTCTCAAGTGCTGTGATTTGACTTGAAACAATGAATTTTGAATTTTATGTAAGCATTATATCGTTCATGCGTTTAATATGGAAATTATTTTGGATGCTAAAGGCATTTTGAAATAAAACAATCGGCGAGAGCAGGCAAATGCCGTGGAAATAACCACACTGAACTTGACCTAGTTACTACATTATAAACAGTTGATTAAGTGGAGCGATACGGAGTCGACCCAAATTTCGCGTAATAATTCTTGGTTCATTTTCTGGAATACATGACACTAGGTCACAGGTTGTCTAACAAAATTTATTTTACCCCTTCGAATGAACACACACTTATTTTAGAAACACCCTGTATATAAAATTTTACAGCCAAATAGAGAGTGAATATATTTAACATAATTGCAGTGAAATTATATACAGTGTGTATTATGACGCATTATAATTAGTTCTATACAAACAACATTGCTACAATTGTGTAAATTTTTAATATTTTTTCCGTAATAAGTTGTTACTTAAACTGGATTATATTTAATCGATGTTCATCTTCTCCAGTCGGTCGTAATTTGATTAGCGAAACACGCGTCGAGTTAAACGCTTTTGTTTTATGCTTAAATCCCACCCGCGCTTGATTTAATCTACTTCTCTCGTTCCCAGCTGGATCTTACATTGCGTCCCCAAAATAGACTCTTGTTGGCTACCACGATTCACCCTAAGCCGCGACCGGCGGTGATATTTTTCCTAGGAGACAAATGACGGTGCGGGTGACGTTTTCCCGAGGGTTTTTATCCAAATTGACTCAGTATATTCAGTTAAGAGAGCCTGCTTAGTAACCCTCAAAATAGATTTTTGTCGAGGCGTCGACCTATAAGGTTGATACGCATCTCGGCTGTCCATGATTAAACTTCAACGGACAGTAACTAAAATAATAGTAGCAATAATAGTAATTATTATTATAAATTATATTTTCACTTATTTTAAAGTCAAAATGTAAAGAAAGCCAACCGTACTGATTTGTTATTGGTTGGACGTTAACTGTTTAGTCAAAGTTAACATTCTTTGAAATTTAGGCTATTGACTATGTCAAAAAAAGTGGGTACAAAGGAACTACAACGTAACAGAAATTTTATTGTTTGATATGTTCAATTGATCCTAAAAAATTATAAAACCGCGGAGTGCTACCTTTTAAAGGGGTGCGTTTTTGAGAACGAAGTAAAAGGTGGTATTTTAATGTTTTTGAGTTTTACCTACTCGAAAACTATGCATTTTTTCACTATAGTTGTCATCAGAAAAGTTGTAGCAAATTGAATTTCCAATCGAAATGAGACCTTTTGAAGTCAAAAAAATGTATTTTTAACAAAAATATTCCCAAAAAACGAGTAAAAAAAAACGAAAAAATGCGTCAAAAAACTGAAAATACCACCTATTTACTTCATTCTCAAAAACGCACCCCTTTAAAAGGTAGTACTCTGCGGTTTTATCATTTTTTAGGGTCAATTGAACATATCAAACAATAAAATTTCTGTTACGTTGTAGTTCCTATCTAAAGTACATAGTCAATAGCCTAATTATTGTGAAGAGAAGATCAATAAGTAATTCGAAAAATTTCAAAATGAAATATCTAAAAATAACACCTAATCTAAAACAAGCCTATAGAAAAGTCGGATTCTGCTGTGAAAAGACATAATAGAACAGACGAATCTTTGACTGTAGAACAATTAACAAACATTTTGGAAGATTATGTTTTCAATATGAACAGGAAAAATTGTGAAAATTGTAAAGAAAGTGTAATTAAAACATTGTGGAACTCCACAGCAGAATAGCTAATAGTAACAGACAATCAAGCCTTACTTGCATTTGGATGTGGAGCATCATAAGGAAATGATTGAAACCATGAGAAACCTAATTCCAGTAAGTTTAATTATGACCAAAATATAACAGAAGATAACACAAGGTGCAAACCATTGACACAAATCAATCTACAATTTATAATAACTGTGTTTTTACTGTATGTTACTAATAATTATAATTAATTACTGTTAATTTCTCTATTGTTTTCTTTATTTCCATCTATGGCAAAATACAAAAAATGAATTAAATAAACCCTAATGCCAAAAGGGTATCTATCAAGAGAAAAATTTTCAGATATTTTTTCGTTGCCATGGTAAAGTTTCAAAATAACGTCATTTGGTTGGCTACAAAATAAGAGTGAAATTTTCACCCTTATAACTATTATTCAAGCGGTTTATATGAAAATATTTTTATAGAACACTTCGAAATTGATGAGTAATTGGTCAGTTTCAAATTTCGATTTGATATTACAGCTTTAACAGTCATCGAAACACAGTTTTTGACGCCACTTATGGAGAGGCTTTAACATACTTTTCAATTAATTTACGTTCTTTTTGTTATAGGTGATGGAGACAAAGAATATGATCTACTTAGTGTCGGAATATGCTAGCCAAGGAGAAATATTCGGTAAGTCAATTGAAATACAAGTCCTTACGATATTGTTTGAGATAGAACTCCAAGAAGACCCCTGCGGAAGTAACCGCATTCGATACCCGAGGTAGAAAAACAATTTCAAGGCATGCCCTGTCCTAGTAAATTGTTACAGTAGCTCAGATAACAGAACTGTATTCGCTTATTTTTTTCTTGGGATTCTATCTCAACAAATATCGTACGGACTATATGTAATATGCCAACATAACATGGCTATCCATGATTTATGACTAAAAAACGGTATTATACGGAAAATTTTAATTGAATATGTCATTATCGTTAATTAAAGCAGCAGATCTTAATTGAAAACAGCTATAACAACTTTAAATTGGATTTATGGCGTTATCTTCCTTTCTCTTTTATAAAAAAATATGGCCACCCAACTCTCTAATCTGTCAGCGAAGGCTCCAGAGCAAATCGAAATTTCTTAAACGACATCATCTGTCAGCTTAACCATGAAATAAGAATGTCGCATTTCCCTTCTTTTACTCTAATTATAATTCAAATTTCTTATAAACTGTGAATATTACAATTCAATTTATTCGGAAAAAGGATACAAGCAGTGGTAGCTTTCACTTTCATATCAAGGAGGGCGAAATTTAGGTACAAAATATTGAAAAAAAAAATATAATTAGGAATTACTATTGAAATATCCGGAAAACGTACGCAACATTATTTTTTATAGTGAGTCTATTCTGCTTTTGTCTGAAGTAAATTTTTCAATTAAAGTTTGGTATTTCTCACACCATTGATATTTTTCAATAGATAGCATTGCAAGTGCTACAACCAATTTAAATTTTACAATTTTTTCAAAAAATTTTACGACATACCTGAACAAATTACGCTTATTAAAAAAAAAGCGGTAAACAGCCCAAATTGTATGGTAAATATGCGCTCCGTCTTTTAATGCTTCGCGGCGGTAACCATGACCACCGCTGTAAACATTTTGCAGATGTAGAGGCGAGCTACGAAGCTCCAGAGCCTCCCCCACCAACCGCCACTGGATACAAGAAAAATAACTGGCAACAAAAATATGTACAACCTAGAAAGTTTCTTCAATAATACACATAATAATATCTAACTTATTCCAAATTTTGTTTGTACCCTTCTTACCCGCATTTGCACATAAATATATTAAATTACTAGAAACATAATATCAAGGATTTTGTTTCTACGACTAAACTTGAACAACCTGAAAAATAATCCAAGGCGGAATATTAGTCGTATTCAAAAATAACATTCTCCGATGACTTGATAGGCCATTAGTGAAAACCTCGATCCCGGCATTTTCAAGGGAAAAGCGCTTATTAAGGAAAGGTCACAATCTGCGTGGGTGGACCCTTGCAACCGATTGTAACCGGTGACGGACGCAAACAATTTAATAACTTCACGTCATGCATCTGTTCCGAACAGCGCTTAAATTTCTTAACGCTCCTCAACCTTATGATTATGATTTGCCGATATTATAAATCGATACTGACGCAAGTAAGGCGGGATTGCGTCCAGCGGCAACGTACGTGACACAATATTTACCCGGCACTAATAACTAATAAAAATAATGACACGAATATAGCGAGTGGGACTGAATATATTGGAAAAAATTGCTAGTTTGGAGGTGTATTCGTTTCGGACGATTTATTTTTGCGAAAAGATCGAATTTCGTATAAAATAATATGCAATAATTATTTAAAATAAATAAATTGAGTTTGCGAAAATAATACAACATAAAACATTAAAAGAAAAAGAAACAAACAACAGGATATTTAGATATATTTTAATTTAATGAACAAGTAGAATGGAAGAATTATTTTATTAATCTTTATCAATTTGAATAGACAAAAAATTCATTTAGAATTCGCAGTTGGAAAAACCAAATCGCTCTAGGTATTCAGCTACATTCGAAGTATTGTTTTGTTTTGGAGTAGAATATAAATAACGTCAGTAGAATATTGATATTGATATTACGTTGCTGACATTGATACATTTTTTTAATGCGAAATTCCTATTAATCCTAAATCCTAAATTAAGCACAACTAACACATACTTAAAAAAACCAGAATATTGTTGCTTTGTTTTTTGATATAGTGTCGTAATTTTTATAAGAATCCGCTACCTGCGGCAGATGGAAACGGATAGCATAAATGCTGAGTTCATGGCTTTTATTAATTTTAAGATATAAAAATTCAAAATGCAAATTTATTACTTCGAAATGAATATTGCAAGTCATCAAGAAACCTTCTACTAGAACGAGAGATCTTTTACTGTTTTTTTTATTGTACATTTCTTTATGTACTGTCTGTTCTGTTGTTCTTTTTTTTAATGCCCTAAGATTATAAGTACATACAGATAGGCTCCCTATTGAACCATTTTCTACTGAAATGTTCTAATACTTGAGCATATTTCACTTTAGATTTTTAGGACTTGTCGTGTGGGGGATACGCAGGCCTTATTTCCCTCTAAATAGGCAAGGACCACTTCAAACTATCGAAAAGCGATGAATAAAAGTGTACAGTCGACGTTCGATCTCACTTCATATTAGCTCCGCCAATTCTCGGAGATTGCTATTCGGTATGAATTCTAACATCTGGCAGGTATAGGCAGGTTCATGGCTATTGATTTACTCCGTCATGGAATTTGTTATTATAGATAGTAGATCTCATACGAAATTTGAGTGAAATACGCTCTCTTTTTGTTTATAATATAGAATTATTTCAAATATAAGTGAGCATGAAATATCATTAACAATCTAGATTTCTGCTAATCCAGTACATTTCGATTATAAAATGTTGGCAAATGTTTTGTTTATTCATGTCTTCCGTGTTTTCTATAAATATCTAGGGATCTTAACCTAACCTGACCTAACTCAGGTGGTCTTATGGCTCAAAAAAATAATTTACGTATAAGTAAATGATATGGACTTGAAGGTTACTTCATAACCTGAGATATTGTGTCAAGGTTCTCACATATCTTCTTAAAAATAAATCTCTTAAATAAACTTCAAGATATTGATCTAATGACATACTTCGAGTGTTAAACAATAAAAAAATACAATTGGCTAGACTTGGTTCAACAATGTACAAAGCATGTAAACACTTACTGAATAAGAACTATATTCATTTTTATAACTATGTGACTAATTAAATCTATTTTTAGTTTTCCAAATATATTAGATATCAAAGACAAATAATGATGATTTTATTAGATCTAAAATGAAAACAAATAAAAAACCTGTGCTTAGTTTTGGCACAATCCGCAAACCGTACGAAATTTATAAATACACGTACCTACCTACATCATAAAGAACATAATTTGTCAACCGTTTTGAGAGAGATTAGTTAGGCGCATTTTTGTATTTAAAAAAATTTACATGACGTAGAAAATAAGTTGGTTCGGTATGGTATGCAAAACTTGTATTATTTTTATTTGCATATCTTTCAAAATAACTAGGGTCAAAGTAACATGTTGCGTATCATGGGCGGGGGGACAACAATGAAAGTCAGTTAACTCCCCCATCCCCTAGAAGTTTGGTAAGTTTTATAAGAAAAGGTTACTGTTCTGTAAAAATTATATTTTTTTTTCAAGCTTAAATGAAATGCTATAACCATAACAGAATGTTTTATTCTAAGGTCCGACAGTAAATCGTACATTCCAGGTTCGTACTTTGTTTTTTCCATAACATGATGAAAAGTAGACATATGATTAATGTGTGAGTAAAAAATCTGAACGATCATGAAAAAAATCAAGATTAAAATGTAACACTCACCAGTTTCAGATCACAAAGGAGATTCTGATATTTTAAATTTATCCATTAGGTATTGGATTCCGTATTAACCGCGCCCATCTGCGAAAATATTTACGCTATCATGTTAAGAGTAAAAATGTAGACTACTTGACAATTTTGATAACTGAAATAAATATATTGCAATAAATTAGACGAATGAAGTGAAATCTTTTTTACTTTTTTTTTAATCGACTAAACACTAAACTCTTGTACAGCTGTGAGCATTAAAAAGTTTCCGATCTAAACTGCTTATGCTTTGTAACATGTAACTTTATAACATTTTTTTGGTCCACGGCTGTATCCCGTAATAATATTTGTTGTTATTTTCATATTATTAATAAAAGCAATTACGTCGAAGCCTTTTACGACATGCATTTGTTTGTGCTACCTACATTCGACGTCTTATCGATTGCCTTCTCCTTGTATATTGAAAATATTCGGTTTTTGTTGAATACATGGAAAACTAGTGGCATGGAAGAATCCAAGGAAAACCTACTCAAGTGGAAGCTGAAGGTTTTATTTATTGGGGACGTTCGTATCTATTCCCTTGATACTTTACTCTTAATCAACAAGGATGGAGTAAACAAATAAATACGTGCGGGCTAAATATACTGTTCAAAATCATCTAGGATCGGATTCAGGAACTATTATGGTCCGTGGAAAAGTCGAAGGGAATTAAATTTATGTGGTTAGACATTCTATTATCTACTACACTTTTTCCAAATGTATATCAAAAAGTAACATTTTCATTTTTTTGTTTTAATAAGTTTAATTTCAAAAAACGTCCAGTATATTTCAAAATAAGCAGTTATAATTTAGAATGTGTAAATTGTGTTTGACATCAGTCATTTGTATTTCAAAATGTTACTTTTATTTCACAAAGTATCAAACGTACTTTAGAATTCCTAGAATGCGTTTCAGAAAAATATTTCAAACGAGTTTAGGCTTATGATTGGAAAAATCATAATAATAATGGGAAATAATAAAATGATTTTTAATTTATAGTTTTATGCAATTATTCATAGGTATTAGTACGTAGTAGTTGAAATACAATTATTGTTATCTTCCCTATTAAAATTGGCAGACTGACTGACTTACTATTATCTAGGATATATAGATATCTAGATTTTTGATATCCTGTGTCTTGATTTCATCCGATAGGATTTTTTTCAAAACGTTTTTGAATTATATTTGATTTATCTTTAAAATAAACATAATATAATATTTTTAACTATGAAACAGACTAAAAACAACTTTAAATTTCCAAAAATAATTAAAAACAAACATTATCAATTCAGAAAACGAAAGAGACTGATTTTGGAACCATAAATAACTTTTGGAAGTGCCCGATATGTAGTGTATTTTGTATTTGTCTGCTTTTCTTAGTGTAAGATTTTTAGTTGAGCGAAACTACTTTCATAAAAATAATCCTTAACTGATCCATTTGAAACAAGCCTATATTCCATTATTTTTTTATTTTGTTCATACCCAATAAATAAAGAAGAAAAAAGTAAATACAGACAATATTTTGTTAACACTTGAACATTTATATAAACTTATCAGTAGCTGTAGCACGTTTATTTTTTTTGTTGAATTGCCATTTGGTCGCTAATTTGTAGGTAAAATGTCGTTATTATGTGTTTGTATTGAAATTTCTTTTAAATTAGGCATCTATTTAAATTTATTTTCGAAAATAATATTTGTACATTTTCAATAAAAATCATTTTTCTTCTGTACAAACATTTTTTATATAAAAATGTGTATAATATCTGATTATGGAAAAAAGAAAGAAGAAAGAAACTATGCTTCATGGAATGGGCCGTATTATAAAAAAAAACTGAAGTTGAGTCAAATAAAAGGCAAGAATCGAAGTGTTGGTTTTTCTTACATAAAAGACAGTTAAGGAACGGGTTAACACTTAATCGTCCCTTTTTACAACACTTAGAACTGGCATTTGTTATAAGTTGATTAAAAACTGCCAAGTAAATCGTTTCTCTCATTTCCGGCGTCTTATTTGCGCGAATTTTCTACCCCCGTGTTTTCGCATTAGCGACGAATCCAATCAGAGAAACAGCGGGCGTAAGGGGAATTAATAATACATATACTAGCGGAGTTTCTAAGACCCGTAACCCAGAGAGATTCGTATAAGATCCCTAAATCCCGGCACGGCACTGTCCCCCGTAGTCGGAACACCCACGCCGGGAGACCTTGACGCTCTGACGTCATTGCCAGTGGACGCGGCGCGCCGGGGGACTTGGATGTGGCGGCATCGACGCACAATGAGGATCACCACGACCCTGGACCTCCCGCCGCTACTAGAAGCTGTTTCGCGCCGCCGGCAGCTCCTTGAAGGCGAAAAATGGACAGCGTCATCTTAGGCGAAGATAATGACATTTCCGCAAATGTGCGAAGTTATCGCAGCAGGAATCAGTTTAATTTTTAGTAAATTTTACTTTTTTTCTAAATAAAAATATATTTTAATTCACAATAGACAAAATATACAGGGTGATTCACAAACAAAATTGGGCACATGTATTTATATAAACATTGTCAAAAATCTGAGGCCTTTTTCTATTTAGATGCTCCAGTGGCGGAGATAGAGGGTGTCGGTGGCATAATTTTCTAAATAAAATAGTATGCTACTGCTTTACGGTAACAATCATGACATTTTGGTCTTTCAATTTTCTATAACTTACTACTCCTCTTGTGTTTCGAAAAAAGCCTGCTTTTCGAGCAAAACTTAAAAAACGTACTGAAAACAGTTTTACTTAAATAATGTGGCAAACACTAATCATTCAGTTATAGGTATAATCGAATACAGAATTTAATAATAATAACATTAGTCATAATTTTAATGATTTTATTTGAGTAAATGCTCAAAAATACCCTCACTTCCACAAACACAGGCGCGACATCTTCTTAGTAACGAAAACGTAAGTTCCAAATTTATTGCTGCTTGAATTTGATGAAAAGCACTATATATCATTTCTTCTAACTGCTATTAATTTGTTCACTGTATACCAGCCGTTTAATAACACTCCACAAAAAAATCCAGTGGGTTTTCAGTTTGTTTTTTAAGTTTTACTCGAAAATCAGGCTTTTTTCGAAAAATATAAGAGAGTAGTAATTTGTAGAAAGACGGATCCGAAAATATCATGATTGTTACCGTAAAGCAGTGACTATTTTATTTAGAAAAATATGCCACCGATACCCTGTATCTCCGCCACACAAAATAGACTGACTGACTTTCTGACTGTAACCCCTATACCTAGTGCTGTATCTCCTATACAAGTGTATCGATTGTTTCCTAATTTAATTTAATGACTGTAATAACGTAATTCAATTGGAAAGGTCAGTGGCGTACCTACAGTACCACTGATTAGAAAATGTAATACTCCAGTATTAATAATTTTTCGATTTCTTTTGTACTTCGTGCATTTCTGCCATGCCGAAAGATATTATTATAAAATAAACTATTTAAACTAATGATTTGTTTTATTTTTCAGATTACATTGCCAGGTATGGTAGAATGACTGAAGACCAATCTAGAGTTAAATTTTGGCAAATTTTGTCTGCTGTAGAATACTGCCACAACCGTAATATAGTACATCGAGATTTAAAGGTAAGTTTTCCGTAAACTAGTCGTTTTATATACTATGTACAATATACTTTTTCCATTTGTACTAGGTAGTTTAAGAATTATAACAACCAAAGTGTTTAGTAGCCTTAAAACTCAAGAAAATAATTGAATATCGTGGAGATATAAATCAAACTCGTGATTGTCTACACTGAACCATCTGCTCCTGCATATGTTTACATGTAAGTACACAGTCGTTCGCGAACAGTTCGCTATCACCTAGTAGTAGTCCTGTTAGCAAAATGTTGACGTTAAGATTACGAAATGCTCATATTAGCATCTTTATATTTGTTCTCTTGTAACACGCCACAATTTCCATCGACTGTTGAAAGATGCGTATCGACCAGCAAACATATCTCGAGCAGATGGTAGGTAGTTACAAGCTCTGCTCGCGATCAGCTCACGTACATTTCGCAAACCGATCGCGAGCAGTTACACGCGAATGCTTACAAAAATTTACTTTTGCATTTAGTGTTTGCAAAAAGTTCAACCAATCAATGGATCAAATTCGTACGTGTTTATTATTATTAATATAAGTCGTTCACGGGAATGGTGAAGGCTGCTTTTACAAAGCAGACTAGACGATGTTAAGTGGATTTAGGAAATTTTGTTGGTCTGTTAAAAGTAACCTTCGTTGATTCACCAAGATCGCTTTAAAAATCGCTTTCGGAATAGTCCATATAGTATTATGCACACAGTCTTAAAGAGATTGGCTTTTATTTTATTCTGGACAGGGCTGTTTCTTTGTAACAAATGTTTTATTAAACATGAAGAGTCAGAACATCAGAATTCACAGCTATTTACTCATCTGCTTAAGCACACATTAGCAAAAACAACAAGTTACCCCTTATAATCTTTTTTTTTCGCTGTCCCATCAGGATTTTAGACATACTCATAGGGAATACACTTAATCCACCCTACCCGGCAAGCCCTCCCTTAAAAGCTTAAAACGTGGGTCGAACACCCGATTATTCCATTAGCCGGACGACCTGGCCAGTTATTGTTATCGGGGTATTCGGGTATTTGTTTAGGAAGTTGCACAGAGGCCGGGCGAGAGAAATTTCCCGCCCACGCTTGATTCCACAGTGCGGTGCTAGATTGCATACGTCCGAGGCTTATGGTGTGTAGGTTGTTTTACGATACCGAGTGTTCGTTTAAAATCAGTGATACTGTTTTTAACAAATGAAGGTTAAACCCAAGCCAAAAATATAGAAATGGGTATGGAAATACTTTGTTTATTTAAATTAAGATTACTTACTAATTACTAAGTATTATTAAAAATTTTAAACTGATTGGACTTGTACCTAACGTGGCAGAATTTTGTGAATCAATTTAAATTGTTTTTATTTGTTCTACTGACAGTTGCAGCCAGATTTGTCACAGTTAGTGAATTCCTTAAACTCATCTCATATTATAGTGATTACCTAGGGTGTTATGCGGATAGTAACACGTTAATGTCGACAGTGCACTTCATCCGAGAGCCTTGTTGTCCTGTAACACCCGTGGTGCCTTTAACATTTCATACTACAACTACATATTGGTACTGAATTGATGAGCCATTTTACCACAAAATCTTTGCGTTTGAAGTTTCGCGAACTACCAAAAATGTGGGTCAAAAGTACATGACTCGATTCCACAAGAAACAAAAGAAATCGACGAAAGTTGCGTTCCCACATATATAGTCCTGTAGCCAGGGGGTCCCAATTGCCTCCTTCATTTAGATGTAGTTACAGAAGTGTTTTTTGTGTATTTTGAGCTGCAGAACACGAATTTTTTGGGTAGAAGTTTGCCCGGATGTCGATAAGTTTTTTATTAACAAAAACTTAGTTTTTGGCAAAATAAAGTTTCTTGTTCTTTGACCCAGTTTAAGAAGAAAATGTCTCTTGCAATTTTTTTGTTAAACGCATAGTTTTCGAGATAAACGCCGTTAAAAACTCGAAAAATGCAATTTTTGCGATTTTCAATTGTTAATAACTTTTGATTGAATAGGTATTTTGTAATTCTGATGACAGCGTTTGAAAGTTCACGTTAAATACTACAAATTATGAGTAATTTCAGTGTGAAAATTTGTTTCTTCCACTGTTATTTGAAGCTATAAACAAATAGCGATTAAGCGTTCAGAAGGGTGCGCTGCCAATTATGTAAGAGAGCGGTTGCCTTCTTACAAGCGTTTAAAGCAATTAATACACGCGTACTCTTCATTTCTAGACCAATGAAACGATGAAAACTGAATGAAACATTAACAATTTAAGTTTTGTTAATAAAAAACTTATCGACGTCCGGACAAACTTCTACCCAAAAAATTCGTGTTCTGCAGCTCAAAATACACAAAAAACGCTTGGGTAATTCCATCTAAATAAAGGAGGCAATTGGGACCCCCCTGGCTACAAGACTAATAGTATTTTATGTCAAAGCTAAATCAAGAAGTCATTATTCTGCTTTGATTTGACCATGACTAGCGTTACTATAAGTACCTAAATGTCATCTTGCAACCTGGCACGTTGATTTATGGGCGATTTGTTGCTGAATCCCACGAATCCCTATTCCAAAAATGTATTTTTAAATATGAAATTTATCTGCACGTTTCCTTACTGTTCATGGCTTTATATTTAACATCGTGGAGAATAAGGAAGAGCGCGCATAAATTAATATTTTTTTTATATTTACTATAACATCCGCTCCTAAGTATATTGCCTGTGGTATATCAATACAATATAAGATAGTCAATAAATAGCATAATTACTTAGTTTGTAAACTTCCTTGGCACATGTCAACGGTTAAACAATTTCCTGACTCGTTTGTTTGGGCCTTCTTGATAGACATATTCCTCTCCCATCTACCTCTGAAATTGTAGGTTAGTCCACGGTGTTTCTGTGTACCTATAGTTTGAAGTCGCTGGCCTGTTTAATTGCTTTTCTGTACAATGACTTAGAATCTTTTCTCTTCAAAGTTTTAGTATTACTGTTAGTCAACTGATGGCACTGTTTCTTCTTTGTGTTATAGATGGTCTTATTGTGTTTTCTTAATAAGTAGTCCACCTTATCACTAAATATTTGTAGATATAAGGGGTTCGGAGAAACTATGATCTGGGATCAGATGGTTCACTAGCAGCTATTTTTCGGTTTTAAGAATGTACCTGATGATGGATAACCGTTTCCGAACAGAACAAGGACAAATCGTCTGACGTCAAAGCCAATCATAAATTTTTATTGCGTTATTTTACGATCTAACACAAAACAAAGCATATGTTTTTACAACTTTCATTAAAATGGGCAAGCTTATTGTCGTTTATCATGCTAACAACACTGAATTGTCTAAATTTTAAGGTTAGATAAAACAGTCGATCCATTTATCCCAAATTGTGATGGATTGAAGTTCCCTGATCCTAATAATCGCAGTTTCTGAAAAGCTCTATAATAGATAGGCTGTTGATTTTTCTTGATTTTGGGAATCCCACTAAGGGTTGACTTTCTATAGAAGCTATGCTTGTAGGTGGCAATCGGTTTCCTCTCGATAAGGGCATCTAGGAACGGAACTGTATCCAATTCCATGATGTCTGGATGTATTCCATTAATTTGATCCAGAAATTATTTCTGGTTGTTACATCCATGAAGCCAAATGATGAAACGTATCAACATAGTCGGGCTAACCAGGAAATAATGTGCTGGGAAAAATTAGGAAAAATCTGGTGCACACTTTTGCCAAGCCAAATTTATAATTTAGAAATAAAGAGCAGATTATAAAGAGAAATAAATAAGAAATGGTCATATTGTTTCACTCGTGAGTGAACTTATTTCAAATCTAGGAATTCCATGTAGTTCCTGTATGCGTATTTCCAACGTGCACATTCCCAGCCCTCATCTATGCTCCCGGGCCGACCTCCTAGCGAGGGGTTTCCGCCGCCGCGACTCGCTGACGTCACCCCATAGATCGATCGGTGCAGACGCGACTAGTAAAAGAGCCCCTTTCAGAAGCCCCTGAAAGGGTTCTTCATCTGGCGCTGGAGTGCTTTTATGTAAGTAATATTTGAGCGAGATAAAAAAGCCTGGAAACAGGTCTTTTGAGAGACGCTCGGCCCGGAGGCGTTTTTAAAGCGCGGGGTGGCTTTCGGTGATGATCGCGTATGGGGTAGGCGGCTTTAAGATGCAATTTAGCGGGTAGGGTTCTCGTTTTTACTACGCGCTGATTTACTGCGAAGCTCGGGCGAGACAAATGGAAAAATTTGATAAGATACCACGACGCCAACGGATTACGCCTTGATAAAACTTCAACGGCACATCAAACAAATAAATATAATTTCCCGTGCAAGGTAGCCTTTAAGTGGGGGAAACCGGGGGCGGTTGTACCACGGTACAGTTTCTAATAAACTGTGGCGGTCAGGACGGTATGCATGGCCAACTAGATTAATGACTTACGAACCATCGGGAAGTATGAACATATTTAAACACAATTTTATATCTTTGTGCTCAAGCGCGAGCATTTTCACAATATTTTGTTAAAACAGTAAATGTATTTAATTTATCACGAATCACTGTACTGATTGTTAATTCTATTTATTCATAATAAAAAATAATTACATGTTAAGACACGCACAAACAACAATGAAATGCACCGCCAATGTCCCTCAGCAAAAAATGTGGCCGACAGGGTAGGCATTAAGGTGTCGCTAGATACGTATCGAATAAATTGATCGATGCGCTGCTTCAGATCAGAGGTAGACATGTACAATGACACACCACGTTGCAGCCGCCCTAACATTTCCGATCTCTAGTTATTAGCTATTGCCTCAAGTTATTTATTTGTAGAATTTCCTTATTTTGTAGAATAAATTTAGGTTTTTGCCTGTTTATTGATATTTTTTCATCTGTGAAATAAAAACTTAATCAAAGAAATCTTTTTGCCAAACGGATTAGTTAAGGACTATTTTTTATTACGTAATTAATTTAATTAAATTAATAATTTTGGCTGAAACAAAAATAGCACATTGAAAATAACAAATAACACTATATCACGTATTTCAGTTGGACACGCTCATGCAATAAGGATGTATGTCCGTCTTTTTGAAAAATGATATTTCTACAAATATAGGTTTAAAAATATATCCTTCTGGTGCAAATATGAAATCTCTGGGATTAATAGAATTGAACTATGTATAAGATAAAAGCACTTATCCCCTGTTGTAAACTAGTTCAAGAACGGGACAAGTTACATATCTCTTATTCCTTTCTTGTACCACATATGCATTGGTTTTTTTGTTCTAGTATTTATTTTTCTTAAATATTATTTTTGTAAGCAATAAGTAATCAATAATTTTGTATTCTGAAAAACGTTTTGAATGTTATTTATATCTTTTAATTTAAAAATAATAATTAGCACATTTATTATCTCATCTGAAATTGTTGAAAAAAAAAACAATCAAATTTTTGCACATCAACTAACTACGATGTGTATTTTCTGAATATAAATTAAAAAAAAAATGTGCTACATGAGCCCATTTCAGAGATTAATTATACCGACATAACTGACCCTGATTACACATCATTACAAATCATTTTCCGCTAATTAGATTTCTATTCAAGTGACAACGAAACGTAAAAGATCTTGCAAACTACGTCTATTTACTAAAGGACTTGTTTATGTTTTTATTAATGAGTCTATCCTAAAGAGAATTTTATTTTTCGTTTCAGGCTGAAAATCTTCTACTAGACTCCAACAATAACATAAAAATAGCGGATTTCGGATTCTCCAATTATTACACCACGGGCGGGCAGCTCTCGACGTGGTGCGGATCCCCCCCTTACGCAGCCCCCGAGGTGTTCGAAGGGAAGAAGTACGTCGGACCTGAAATCGATATTTGGGTAAGTACCACACCGATGACTCTAGTTAAAAAAATACTTTCTTCTTCTGACGGTACCAAATTTCACAATGTAAACTTTCTACATCGATTTTCGCTTTTTTTTACAACAGTTACGTTCTGCTGGCTCTTGACGTTCACGATGGATTACATTATTTAGAAACTCCACTTATTGTATACTATATTCATAAAATTATACACTCTCTCCTTTGAGCGGCTCACAATACCGACCTATTAATATCCCACTACGAATTGAACAACAAAACATTGAATACTGGAATTTTATATCAAATTATTTATGTACAATGATAATATTTATTACGCCGAGGCTTGCCACAGGCTAATTAAGCCTAAGGAAAAATATTCATATATTTTTAAGTTTTTCTCTAAATGATTAAACAAAAATAACACAGATTTAAATGTCAATGCCAATAATGGTTTATATAAATGCTATCAATTAACCATAAATTTTACTTAATATTTTTTAACTTTTAACATTGGAAATGTTTACGGAATTGCTAATATAATGCTAGATGTTAGGAAAATATCCAGAATCTAACAGTATACAGGGGGTTATAAATTTTCAAAATGAAGCAAATGTTTGGTCGCTACCGCTGGGCGCAGGGGTGGTCCGATCGTAGTGGTTTTGGTGTCGTTGTATAGGTTGGTCATTTCTTCGTCGAAGGTAGTAATTTTGAAGGTAATATAACCGATTCCAATTAATATTAAGGCAGAATGTTTTCACCACCTACTAAACTAACATAGTATCTCCCTCTTATGACCTAAGCAGTAATTTCAAAGAAGCTATTAAATTATTGATGATAATGTTTATTCCAGAGTCTGGGGGTGGTGTTGTATGTCCTGGTGTGCGGCGCACTGCCCTTTGATGGATGTTCCTTGCAAGCCCTCCGCGATAGAGTGCTGTCCGGTAGATTTAGGATACCTTATTTTATGAGCTCAGGTAAGTCGTTAACTTTATACTACTCCTGCTTTGTAATCTCTTAATCCACTTCTTTAAAAATGTCATAGTATACGCTTAGCTTTCACCTTTACTTATTTAACCATTTTTTGATTACCTGCATTTCGAGATATGACTAGCGTTGTGCACTCCTGCCCTTTATATAATTTAAGAATATGTTAAGTCACCTGCTATTTTGATTGTGTATATTTACGAAAGCGCTTGCACTTTTACACAACTTCAGACCACGTAGAACAGAAATAACTGAGCACATTTTGGTGAGTCAGCTATTACAGTTACTGCCACTGCCTTTCGATCCAATCCGACTATTTGTCTCCAAACGTTATTTAACCAAGTAAGCATCCATTTACCAAATTGTGCCGGGAATTCCTGAAATTTTCGACAGTCATTCCTAAGCTTATGGTTCCAGCTGTCGTGTCTTTGGAAACATTCTGGATATTCTCGTATGAAGAAAATGTTGTCAGATGTCTACTATTCACATATGTCGTTAACATGTCTCAAAATGTTGAACAAGGGTAATACACTTAATTATACAAGGTGGAATACATTCTGTTTTGATTTTCAGAAGAATAAAATAATCATTTCAGGGAATTCACTAACATTTCAAAAAAATTATTGCGAATATCACATATTTCACATTTTCTTAGAATTAAAATTAACATATTGTAGTACCTTAAAATAGTTGAAATGAAGATAGAAAGATTTTAAATCATACATTTAGGGGGTGTTAGAAGTGAGAGGCAAACTAATCAGGAAAATAGGGCATTGTTCAATTAGGTACTACTTTCCTAAAAATTGCGAATCCTTTTCTTGTTCTGCAAAAATAGCCAAGAACTTTGTTCGCGATACTTTCATCACTTGCGTATAAGATTTCGCCCATGAAGCACAACCAAGTAGTTGTATTTACTGTTTGGCCAACGTACTCATGGATTTGGAGAAATAATCAGTGGTTTGTCTTTAATGTTATTCCGCTATAATAAAATCTTGTGAACCATTTGAAAACATATTTCAAGTTCATGCTTCGAAATACGTCAGAAGTCCCCTTGTCAGCTTTTGAATTATTAGAAAAAACTTCAGTTATGAGCTATGCCAAAGTATGCAAATACAGCCAAGAGAAGCTAATAATCAACGTTAATCCAGAGACAATGGCGCTTATAAACAAAATCAATCACATTTTTACTGGACTGGGACTGTGCATTATTGTCAAAAGTAGTGCCGTTGTATAAAGTATACCCAAATCGCAAAGTTATTCATCAGAAAAAAATTCCCCATTATCATCCAGGGCTAATGCCGGAACTTTTACGATTTAATTAAATCTTTTGTGGGAAGTCGAAGAATTCCCCCGCCAGCTCGGATATTTAACGCCGCCGACATGAAAATCGCATTGATTAATTTGCAGAAGTTCGGGACCCGACGCTTGGAAGTTTGTTATTCAGATTCACCGATATCTATCGAAAAATTATTCCCGACCTGTTACCCGTACACTTCCAATAAAACTTTATTTACAGCTTTATGAAAATAAATTCTGCGTCTTAAAATACTCTCTCCCTGCGTCAGCGGCAGCCCAGCGTCTCGTACGGTGACATCAAAGCGTCCCCGTGTTAGCGAACCGACGTGGATTTCTGTGCCCCGCACGTGCGTCTCTGGTAGTTTTTTTTTTAATTCACTGGATCAGTTCACAAATATGTCAACTGTCAATGATACTTAGAGACACTGTCAAGGTGCAGGATGAGGAATTTATACTAGATCCTGCTTATCCGATATTAGTGGGCAATGGATGGGCATGCATGTGGTACAAACGATATTAGCACGTATAACCATAGCCGCTTATGAAATTGCCTGTAGGCGCAACCATTAGAATCTACACAGACAATAGACAAGCATTACTGATCTTACGTATGCATAAGATAATGACTAGATCAGTATGGGAATGCCACCAGGCACTGGTTGTGGCCTCAGGTTCCAACAGCATATCTGTGTGCTGGGTCAAGGGACACGAGCGGTGCAATTGCTGTAAGGAGGCTGACAAACTAGCCAGGAATGCATCGGACCTAAATATTTTTTGACCCGGTCCCTCCAATGTGCTTCCACTGTTAGCACTTACTCAAATTATCAAGGAAAACACCCACAAAGAGTTTATGAAACGGTGGGATGAAACAAATAACTGTCAATTTGATAAGGAATTCTTAGACTACCCTAGCAAGGCCATGTCTAGATCAAATCTTCGCCTGATGACAGGTATTGAAACTGGATACTGCTGAGGCAACACTTTCACCACATGAGGAAGTGTGGAACAACTCTTTGTAAGGGTTGTGAACAGGAAGACGAGACAATACTGTACATGTGCTATGTGAATGCACTGCCATCTTGTCAACAAGAGAAACCATGTTGTGAGAACTTTGGCCTTCTATGGCCTATATTAGAGTAGTCGCACCTGAGCAACGTGACCATCTTTTTCTCTTTAATAGGTTGGTTAACCGCTCATATGAATTGCTCTCCTAATTGAGAGATGAAGGAAATACCTACAAGAGGCTCAATGGGGCCTAAGTGCTATAGCTTCTAAGCTACCCTTCCCACAATTCAAGATTTCAGCCTAGTGGGATCCTCGGGCCAGTCCCCTTTTTTGTGTGCGAAAGCAAATGAAAAAGTAATTTTTATGACACGAGTAGCTTGGTTAAAAACAAGAGCAGAGAATTTTTTAAAAGCTATGTGAGTGCAATAATAACTCAGGCACATTAAAAAAAGCTGATAATTTTGTATGACAAACATAGCAACCTAAAGTACACCAAATGGAAGATGTCACAAAACCAATACGCTCTTCAGAAAGCAATACAATTCATTCAATGGAAATGGCATGGGAATTCTCAGATTCTTAAGGATAATATCTCCCAATACCTTCGTCACTGGATGACCTATTTGTAAACCACGTTCAATCCAATCTATTGAAACTTCCAATCTCGTCCAAATGTTGAACCATAATTTTTTCAGATTACAAAAATATTTGCAACTTGTTAGCCCGAAACATCAATAACGAAAATAACCATCGGTATGTTCGACACATTTAGATACCGCTGATAAAAATACAAAGCAGATCATACAAATACATCCATCATCAACGTAATGCCATGCATTTTATTATACCAGTGATAACAATTTATATACTATTTTCAGTGAAAACGTACTTACCGATATAGATCACTTGAGTTAAAATGACACATGTCCATCAGTTTCACGCCGAAATTATATGTCACTTTATCTCTGTTTTTTAAGCTAAAAGTGGGTTCTTCATAAAAATGTCAGTGAAATAGTTGGCTGGATGTTATCAGTTTTTTATTACTTTTGTTTATTACTATGTAAACATATATTATTTTGTTCGTGCTTCGTTGTTGATTTGTTAACATCAAGTAAAGATTTTTAGATAATTTCTAGTGTAAAAAATTGTATTTTATGTTTGTGCAATAAAATTAGTTATTACACGATATTAGTTTTAAAAGGTATATCGGTAAGACCGTCAGTATGTTATTCATTATTCGTTTTTAGCAAAGTGCTTCGTATTTAGCACAATTTTCAATAATAATTCTAGCAACTCAACTCGCGATGTGGGTAATAGATAGAGAATATATAAATAGCGGCAAAGGCATCGTTTGGGATCCTTTGACTCTCCGAGCAGAATTTGATTTGATATCGCAATTGTTTCTTCCTAAGATTGTGTCACCGTCGATAATTTTCATCCAGCACGCCGCTTTGCTCTGCAAGCATAGTTGTAGATGACCACTTAAAACTGTAGTTGTATCTTCTTGTGGATACCAACCCAATTTCGTTTTGTACGCGCCAATATCCGTGGCGGGAAAAATAACCTCGGATGGGGCACAGTCAAGCGGGACTATCGCTCTTTACCCATGCCATTTCTGTAAGCCCCTTCCCCATTCTCCCGGACCGCTAACGCGGCCAGTTTCGAGCGATTTGTGGGGCCTCCTCCTGTCCTAGCTCTGGGCAATTCGCTTTGTATTCTATTCTAAAGGTGTTAATACCTATGGGCTGAATAAAACATTTTCAACACCTAGTGGCGAATACTAGGATTATCACGAAACGTATAATGTATTATTTACATTATTAGGTTATAAAGAGATTTTCAATTTTTTTATTTTTTTTTAGTCGAGGGGTTTAGTTATTAATTAGGGGTTAATAAATTGTTGTGTTTCATATACATATAATTATATTATTTTCCAGCAGAGGTGGATTATTTTTAAATTATCTATAAATGCAATATGTACATACAAGGTGTTTCATATTGTTATGTTCAAATTTTGGTTAGTAGTAATTTTTGATAGTAAGTTATAATTTTTTTAATCTTAGAATTAAGTCTGCTTTATGGTTTCAAAACGTAGTCAATAGAATCGCATATATATATCTTTATCAAATATATTAAGTATCACTATAAATATCATATAGGTAGGTACTATATTAATGAGCATCATTTTCGTTCAGTCGCAATAGCTCCTTTTTTGACACCATCAAGAAACAACCTGCCACATTTCGAAGCATAGCACAATTATATTTATGTGTCAATCAAATTGATAGTATGATGAGCACTAATCTGCAAAGCCAGTCCCAGAAACTCTTTTTTCAATACAGACAGTGTCACACAGGTTTTACAATTAGCATTTCCTTCACTTCTGCACCCACTAGATAGGGTGATACCCAAATATAAAAATATAAATATTGATTTAACGTAATAAACGCCATTGTACTACTCAGTCACAGACTTTGGTGAAACCTAAAAATGTTGTAATGTAGTAATATTAATTTTTGAATTAACCTAAAAGCTCACCTACTTTTCGTATATATGATACTAAATGTATATCTCGATTGTTAAAAAAAATGATTTTTTTTTAAACAAAATACAAACATTATTTTGAATTCTGTCAAATGAAACTAACATGTTTCAGACGACATGATTCTGACGGTAATTGCATATCTCG